CCCCCCCTCCTCTCTCTCTCTCTCTTTCTGTAAAACCCTAATTCTGTTCCAAATCAAATCCAATTATTCGATTTCTCAACGCAAATCGAAATAATCCATCACTCCGCCGCCTCAATCGGATCCAATTCAAGCGCATCTGACCGGGAATTTGGGTTTCACCACGGCTCCGATCCAATTTCGAGTGTATCGTTGATCCGAGGGCAGACCCTACAGGGCTTTCATTGGGATTCTGTTGGATCAGATCCGTTTGGAGCTAAATTTGAGGAATTGGGGGCTATGGATTCGAGTCGAAGAGCTGTGGAGTCGTACTGGAGGTCTCGAATGATCGATGCGGCCACTTCGGACGAAGACAAGGTCGCGCCGGTTTACAAATTGGAAGAGATTTGTCAGCTTTTGAGATCCTCACATGTCAGTATTGTCAAGGAGGTTTCTGAGTTTGTGTTCAAGCGTCTGGAGAATAAAAGTCCAATTGTTATACAGAAGGTATCAAAATTCTTCTTCTTTTGGCGAATCAGATTTTTTATTCTATAGTATTATGTTTTATTCTGAGGTTTTGTGCTAGTTTAATGGAATGTCTGGTAATTTTCTCCTCTGGTTATGAGGTTGTGTGGGTAAAAGAAAAGAATTTTCTGGGTTTGATGGGTATTGGGAAATTCCAAGAGCTTATGTCTGCTGTGATGGATAATAGACTTGATGAATGTCAGGTTTCTTGCAAATTTTCACCATTATGCTCAAATTTTCTGCAGGCTCTGAGGTTAATAAAATATTCTGTGGGAAAGTCTGGTGTGGAGTTCAGGAGGGAAATGCAACGAAATTCAGTGGCAGTGCGCCAGTTATTTCACTATAAGGGACAGCCGGATCCTTTGAAAGGAGATGCCCTTAATAAGGCTGTGCGGGACACTGCTCAAGAGGCTATTTCTGCTATATTTTCAGAGGAAAGTAATGCAGCACCAGCCGATGATCTTAACAGACGAATACAAGGTTTTGGGAATACAAACTTTGAAATGTCATCAGAAGAAAAGAAATCTTTTCTTAGTGAGGTAGTTGGTATTGGAAGTGCATCTATCAAGCAGGGACTTAGTAGTTTCACCCAAAATCACTCATTTAAAAATAATGAAAATGGAAACTATAAGAGTCCAAATCTTCATAGATCGTTGACCATTGAAAGTGAGCCGACAGATCGATATGAACCTGCTCAATATCGCAATGAGACTCAAAGTAGTTTTGGGTCTTCAAAGAGTGTGGCTAGTGGACCCTGGAATGAGGATAGATTAACCAAGACTGAAGTAACCGATGGAGATTCTAGCTCAAATTACAGAGAAAGTAAGACCCGGGAGGAGAGGTTGTTGGAGACCATTGTGACTCCAGGTGGTGTACGATTACAACCCACTCGGGATGCCATTCAGATTTTCCTTACTGAGGCGAAAAAGTTGGATGCCATAGCTTTAAGTCATGCCCTCGATACAAAGCTCCAATCTCCATTGTGGCAGGCATGCTCTTTGTACTTATGTATTAGGCCATAATTCTTCCACATGCTTGCATGCACAAAATTGCCAAATAATTGAAGATTCTTATAGTGACTTCTGAATTTTATCTATTTGTGATTTTTTTTCATGCACAACAATTTTATTAAAGACACACAAATTGTCCATATTTGATTTTATTATCCCTGAAATAAGATTGAATTGTTGACTTACAATTGTTCAGAAAAAGTGGGTGGATTTTTGCTGTACTTATGGATCTATTTATTTTTACAAACCTTTTTTTAATGTGATTTTGTGTTTGTTAGGTACGCATGAAAGCGATTTGTGTTCTTGAATCAATTTTGAGGAGAAAGGATGATGAGCATTTTTCAATTGTAGAATCATATTTTATTGACAACAAAGATCTTGTAGTCAGATGCTCCGACTCTCCTCAGGCTTCTTTGAGGGAAAAGGCTAACAAGGTATTCATTTAGTTCCTCATAAATATATATCTTCCATATTCTGATTTCTCAAAATAATGTATATTAGTGATAGATAGACCAAAAAATAGTTTCATGTATAATCTGTTTGCTTAATCATCACTTCAACTCTTCCCGTCATTTAGGTGGTCGCTGCAGCTCAAATGTAGAATTGATTGTAAATGTAACTAGAACTTGGGAACGCCAATTCTTTGCCATAGGCTCAAGGGATTTTTACTTTTTGTGGTGATAAAAGAAGTGGGCATTGTTTAATGGTTGAGCTACCTTGAATATTTCATATTGAACAAAGAATTAAAAGAGAAATAACAAAAGTAAATGGTATGTTGTCTTAATAGTTTTTAAATTTTTCATGAATAAACGGTAATATGTTCTTTCATAATTTTATCATGTTTGATGTAATTTCACTTCACTCTGCATGTAGAGAGGAATTTGTACTTGCCCATTGTGACTTTTCCAGATTTAATTCTTCGTATTCTTATAACATATTCTGAATATATATTTCTTGAGGAATTTGTGCTCAATGATATGATAAATGTGTAAGTTCTTGGAAAGGTTATTTGCAATTTTACAGTTTGGATATATACATGTATATGCATATATATACTTATATATTTGTTTATTTATTTATTTATGTGTATGTGTGTTTGTTTTTCCTTGAGAAGATGCATTAGATCATGCAGTTAAATGAACAATGTTCTTTTAATGAGTAGGTTTTAAGCCTCTTGGGTGGAGAACAAATAGGCAGTGTGGCCAGTAATTCAGAACAGCCTGTGAAGGCACAGGCTGCTACTTCTGTTCAGATGCCTGACCTGATAGACACTGGTGATCTAGATGATTACCATGGGACAGATGCCACAACTGACAACCTAAGTGATCAAGTCATAACAAACTTAACAGCACCACCACCCCCACTAATTGATGATTTATTTGGAGAGGGCGCAGGGAATGTTGTAAGCACCAGTGAACCAAAAAATGAGGATGACCCTTTTGCAGATGTTTCATTTCACACTAATGACAGTACAGAACAAGCAGATGATCTCTTCTCTGGGCTTACTGTTGATAATAAACGAGATGCTCACGAGACTGCCTTGGCTGAAAAGAAAAGTGCAGCTGAAATGTTTGACATTTTCGGGCCCAATTCTGAACTTCCGCAGGTGCAAGATCATAAAAATGATTTTAACAATTTAATGGCTGGTTTATCCATTGATAAGAATGTCTCTAAGATGGAGCAGAAAGGAACCTCTTCTGGACAACTATCTGAAACTCTTTTATCAGATTCAAGTAGTCATCCCAGCCATCAGGCCTCCAGCGATGCTTGGAATGGCATTCTTAATTCTCAAACAGCACGGACGATTGATAATGCAGTGTTTCCTCCAGGTGCTACGCCTTACAATGTAACTCCTGGAATTATGTTCAATCCAGCCTTTTCTTCTCAGCCAATAAATTATGGTGCCATGGGAAGTCTCCTTGCTCAGCAGCAACTCTTAGCGACAATGTCTAGCTTTCAACACCTTGGGAACCTCAATGCTCAAAATATGAATTTCAGTCAAGTTGCTGGAACAAATGGAGGATATGCTTCAGCACTACCTGATATATTTCAAGCAAATCATCCAAATCCAGCTCCTACTTCGATTTCGAACAGTGCGAAGAAAGAGGATACCAAAGCGTTTGATTTTATTTCAGTAAGTTTGATTTCTGAAACTGGATGTCTGAATGCAGTTTCTGTGATTATATTTCCTAAATCATGATGTTGCATGGTTACAGATTTTGGAATTATGTTATATGAACTGTTCACCTGTATAGAAAGCATGGATTGTATATTGGAAGGCTGGTACAATAAAGAACTGCATGTGTACTTCTCAAAAGAATAAAAGAAAAATAAAACCTGCATGGATGATGGATTAGATGTCTAGAAAAACCAAACAAGAAGAATTTCATTGTCTTTTTCATTTGTTTATCTTTCGTTGTTGAGTCCTTTTTCTTATGGATTGTTTTGTAGGATCATATTGCTGCAGCTCGTGATCCAAAGAGGGTAGTTTAATCCTTTGATCTTGTGCTTCAACACTAGGGACCACATTGTACTCTGATGATGATTTCGAAGCAGGTCAATCCCTTTGAACAAAGAAGATCAAATATTTTGTTGTGAAAAAAGGAACATTTGCATATATTGCTGAGATATTTCCATGATAATCCAATGCAAGGTGATAAAGACCAAATAAGCTAGGAACTTGGATGAAAAGAGTAAACATATTTGTGCTCGTTTTTCGTGTTCGAGGTTGAAGAGAGTGAATGTTGTGTAGTTGGCTTTGCTAGTTTTATAATTATGTAATGTAATGCAGGCGAAGATTACAGCCCTCCCTCTTCTTGTAATGAATTTGTAGAGTGCCTTTTTGCCCCCCTATTTTTTTCTCTTTTATTTTTCATTTATAGATTTTTTTGTCTCCTCTCCAAGAGAAATGCTTGTGGTACGTGCATTTGATTATACAAAACAAATAAACAAAACATTACATTGTTGCCTATTATTGTTATGTCTTGCATTTGTTGGAATGACTCAAATTAGAAAGATATAGCCAAAGATTTAACAGGTAGCAAAACTTTAGGTTCGTATAACTTTGCTTATGTTCTGGACATAAACATGCTTAACCCTTCATTTCTTTCTTTTCTTTTCTTTTGTTGTTTTGTTGTTCAAAAGTTCATTTTGTACACTAAAGTTTTTGAGTTGACCAATTGATCCACACCTGGTCGAGAGGCATGAATGCGTCACATTAAACATATTTATTCATTTTTCTGAAACCCCAAAAAAAAAGACATTTATTCATTTGACTATTTACAAACACTGCTAATAACATAACCAGTTTATTCAGAGTCAGGGTGAAGAGAGCAGCACAAGCAATTACTTATGTTATTCTAGAGGATGGATCGTCAAGGTTGCTCCGTGTCCTAACTTCCATCTTCTTGATTCTCTTTAGTTGTTTCACAACATCCAGCCGCTCAGAAGAATATGGAGAAGGGATCTAGATGCAGTAAATGAATGAATGATTAGCCAAAAAAGAGACATTATGGGAAACGCGATTGTAAATTACCGAAAGAATTTTTTATTTTTTATTTTTAAAGAAAAAAAATGGTAAGGTAATGTAAGTTACCAAGCCTGGTATGTACTTCTTGATTGCTGCTAGCATGGCAGCATGACCTACAGCAGATACCTTGCACAAAAGGAAGAAAATCAACTTTTATATGATTGGCTTTTTAGTTGCTTGGATGAAATCTGATTATGTTTGTAATCAAATTCTTGTGTGCAAATATAATGAAGCACGGTTATAAGTACATGAACATAATTACAGAGCATGCGGTAGCTCGAAATACAACTTTGCTAAATGAAACTGTAGAGAAGGCACATACTATCAACAATCAAAACACGCAGTTCATTATTTATAACATGATTGCACTTAGATGCGAAAGATGAACAGAATACAAAAATTTTGAGTCTCTTTATCTTCTTAAAGACGGAACTTTGTACATTAAGCAGAGCTTCAGTATCATTTGGCTCTTACAGCTCCCACAATTAAATAAAGAGCAGCCGTCATTAGGAAAAAAAATTAATCAACTATACAGTTTGAACCTTTCACTAGATAAATATGTATTTTCACCACATAAAATATGGTGAATTTATGGTCGCAATCAATTAGTGTTTTTTTGTTTTTTTGGCAATTCTAAATCATGCATAAAGGTCATTCATAACTAACTACTTCATATCAGTCAATGAAATACAAGGCAACCTTAGGAAAGAAGAGTGTCAAATTAGTACTTACAGGAAGTAGCATTAGAATTGTAACTGGAATGAGTGAAGTTATGTCATTCAGCGTTCTTTTTAGCTTGCTTCTTTCCCTCCTTGTAACCTTGTCGCCACGCAATTGTTTCAGGAGTAGCTCCACGGCAGTCATGATGTCTATGAAAAGCAACTGAGTCCCCATCCATACATCCTTCAAAACAATTCAATATACAGTATTAACATCCACCATAACATACATACATACATACATATTGCTTCACACATCTCTAAGAAGCAGGAGATTATTGGCCTTACAGAGCTTGTCGATACCAACTTGTTGCTATACTTCTTAACTAAATTTCGATGAAGATGTTTTGATTTCGTGGCACTGCCCTCCTCCACAGAGTTTATGGTTTCTGTCACCGGTGAGGAGGGATCCTTTCATTAAAGGAAACAAACGGTCACAACAATATAAGAAACAATTAGACTATAGCATACAATGATACAAACCAAGTAGATACCATGCAACTTTCTTTTATGATATATTTCATTCTCCAGGACTAATAAAAAAGCCTCTGGTAACGTTATGGTCATATGTGAAGCTCTTTCATTTTTAATATTTGTATTTAATTTGTTTATTATAATGAATTTTTTTCTAAAAGCAATACCTTTCTCAGTTTAAGCCTGCGTTGAGGCTTATAATTTTGATAATCTTCTGATGTTGTCAAGGTACTTGGCTCTTGTTGTGCTTCCATTGTTACAGATAACTTGGTTGCAACAATAGATCCTACAAATGATGTTGTGCGACGAGCACCAGTTTCTGTAATCTTTAACAACTCGCTGCTTGAAAAAATAAAAATAAAAATCCGAACAAGCACATTTATCTCCTTCCTCCATGGTAGTGCTGATTCAGTAGCAGGGAATTAAAGTGTAACAATCCACCAGAGAAATAGTACCTTGATTTATCATAAGCAGCCCAGTAGTCTTCCAAACATATAGTTAGCAAGCTCTGACTGAAAAAGGTTAATGATATTCCTATCTTAAAAACTGATTGGCCTGTAGTAAATAGAAAAGATTTAAAACAAACCTAAACAATGAAAGATGGGAATGTTTTACCTGTGGAGCAAGAAGTCTAGCAAATCAGTGTCTAAGGATTGTTGAGTTGAACGACTGAAGTGAGCAAATCCGGAGAAAACATCATAGCATACAGTAAACACAGCAGATAGAGCAATCTCTTTCTCTGCCTGGATGGCATGTAGTTTGCTTTTTCGTCTCTCTTGACTTCTTTTCGGAGGGCATGCAGCGTAAAAATCAAGCCATCCAATTTCATCAGTCACCAACTGTAATGATAAATTTTCAGATTTGCATGATTTGCATTTTACACTTGCAACAGAAGCATAATAGAGACGAACCTCCATGAAGTGTTGATACACTGCTACGGAAGAAAACTCCGGGCGAATGAAAAGGCTACCACACTCCAAGTAGCTGCAGGCAAACCATTCAACCTCTTATGTTCTCAGTACTTTTGGATTAAATCATTTAATGTGAAGTCGTTTACCAAAGGAAGTCCTGAACCAGCTCATCAAGATCCTTTATGCCCATTCTTGACAAGAATAATCTAGTCCTTCTCCCAAGATATGCAAAAAGTCCTAAAGTAGCCAAAGTATCTGCTTCAACCTGTTAAAACTTTATAAATAAGAGCAATAATTAGATGTTTGAGATATGAGCTGAAGATTCTAAACATATAAAAATAAACACAGCCAAAACAATTGATTAATGCTTCTGACTCTAGAATCTGAGAAAGATAATTTAATGAATCATAAAGTTGACCTTGTCATGAAAATTCTCCTTGCCTAGGATCACACTTTCTTTATGGAATGCTGTTGAGAGTTTTTCATGAGCCAACCCAATCCAAAATTCTACCTCTTCACTTTTGTTGCTCAGCAGAACTTTTCTACCAAAATGGGACAAGAAATCCATTTCAAATCCTGCCTCGGTAGCTAAGTTATGTAATCTTTCCACTGACACAAGGCTGTGTGAGAGATCCATGAGATCTACCATTACATCCTCAATTGAAAATGCAAAAAAAGGGCACTTAACCCGGCCATAACCCAATTTAGCCACTGCTGCACAGCAGCCTATAGCCACAACCATCCCTGCAACACCACTGAAGATTTCTTTGTTTAGGCTATATACTTAATTCCAGAATAACAGGTTAATGTCACTGCATATGCATAAAATGCACAGGATTCAAATCGTATATTAAAGCACAGATGTTGATTGTTGAAGAAAATGATAACACAAGATGTTACAAATATTAGGCTAGAAGCACAAAATTATTTGGGCAAACCTTCCTGCATATTCCATAGACCACTTCCTCAACAAGGGAATGAAGAATCCTGCAATACGTGGTAGTTCCACCACTCTAAACCATTCTACTAATTCTGAGTGCCTTGTGTTTAATTGACTCTCGATGTATTCACCAACCACATCAATCTTTGGGGTCAAGCTGAAACAGATAAAGGAACAAAAGAACAGTCTTTCTGGGCACTCATGTCATCAATATTTGCATGCAAGGTGGAAAAGGGCAAAGTAATACTCAGCAGAAAATAGACACATTAAGAAAAGTATAGACATTCAATCTGACTCATTGACATACAAAATTAAGCTCTTAAGGTTTACAAAGTTATAAAGTTAAATATCAAGTAAAGGTAGAAGCAGGCTTAAGCTGTTGATTGTTAAAGTTGACCGCTAAAGATAATTTGTCAGTTAAGGCATTATAACCACCACGACCAACGTCAATCTAACATTGCTAAGATTTTTACAAAAAACATACATACATATCACTAACTGGCGAAGAGTCACTGTAATGACGTTCACTGGAAAGCAAAATTTCTACTTCAATTGCTGTTTTTAACAAAGCATAAACTGCAACCTGCACAGCCATGGTAGTCAATTTCAGAATTTCATTAATACCAACTAGTAACATAACAAGGATTTCATGTCAACTTAAGAAATTTTACCATAAAGCTTGCTCAAGTTAGTAACCAAAATAAAATAAAAAGATATGCAGAGACATGCAAACCATACATCTCAAATATTTACATCATATTTGAGACACTAATGATGTTAACACAATTCAATAGTGAAAACAATTTGTTCTATAGGCATTATAAGATGTTCATCACATACTTTGTGGTGAACAAAAATATATGTTATACCTGATAAGAAATCCGTTTATGCCATTCATGTACATCCTTCCCAGACCATGCCATTGCAAGCTCTTGACCACTTCCTGGCAATTCAAGTGACTTAACTGCAAGGGAGAAGCTCCCTGCAGATTCATGCAATACCCATTCAAGGCAATTGACCCGATTAAATTCGATTTCATGATTATGAGTTTTAGCCACTGGGGAACCATTCTCACAGCTTGTTTGACCAGAATAAGCTGTACAAGCTGTCGATGATGACGTCCAAGATGAATACCACCTTGATGAATTGTAGCATCTAACCAATAAGCCAAGTAAGTGATTCTTCTTTGAAAAGCCATAGTTTCCTTGTTCCTTTGTACTGCACCTTGAAGGGTCATGCACATTAGGTATACTCTTTTGTCTGTTTTCTGATCTTATAGATCTTCTGTCTCAAAAAGAGAAGGTGCTGTCAAATTTATCATTCAAGTAGTTTCACAATAAACTAAATGCTACTACTTAGTTTATGGCATTTAGTCTTCTTCTTCTCTGATTTCTCTTGTATTCGACATATGAAAAGAACTGAAATTAAAACGAAACTTATCTAAACTTTATGGAACTTGGTTTTTGATAAATAGCCAAACAGGAAAGCCAAATCAGAATCCTTTCTTTCTCATATTTGTTGCAACAACAAAATTACCATTTGAGTCACTCAGACGATTTTGCTCCTTAAAAGTAGCAATCATAAAATCAATTCCTCAAGATATAACTGAGTCAAGTCAAATGGCAAAAATCTGACAAATGTGAAGAACAAAAACAAAAAGGCTTGATAGAGCCAGGGAATACGGTTGTCTACTCATATAGATTGTCTTAAGTTTCAGTGGACCAATACTGAACAATCACTCTTTTTCATTGAGCCAATATTTTTTTTTTAATTCAAAAGCAACTTGAAGTAAGTTAGAAAAGAAACATCAAAACCCCATTTTCATACAGATCTAGATATCAATTCAACTAACAGAAGCTGACATACAACTAGTCGAAATTATGAGCCATCAACAACCCTCATAACCAAATTTCCAATTGGACCCAGATAACATAATTTTAAAAATAATAAAACCCACTAAGATAAAGCATGAAAAATACCATTTTAACTGATAGGGTCCAAATATGTACTGTGCATCTGGGTGCAGAGACAGAGATAAAGAGAGAACTTACGAGTGGTAAAAGAGGTGAGGTTTTAGCGTAGACAAATGGAGAGCCATGGAAAACCCAAACAGAGAAAAGGGAAGCAAAAGTTATCCATGTAATGTCAGTTATAAAAGGAGAGGCTTTCAGCGTGGCCATCGAGGGGCAGAGAGAGAGAGAGAGAGAGTGCAGAAGCTCCAATGAATATTTTATGTTCTCTGTCCTAGAGGTTATCTCCCGCCAGCCGTTCTGTTTTTGCAGTTTTTGGACTGTTGTTTATAATTCGGGTGAAAACATTGAGACCCAATTTAATGCATGAGCATGATGACGAGTTTATTGTCTGTTCTGCTCCATTTGGTGTTTTTTCCCTTTTGGGTCAGCTGCTTCAGATTCAGAGACAGGTTCTGCAGAAGCTCACTAATCTTATCAGTGGGAGTTTCTTACAAATAATCCTTCTACCATGAAATTTAAAATTTGAAGCTTAAGAAAAAGAACATCATCTTTCAACCTGATAAGATCCCATTTAAAGTCTACATTATTTAAAATTTAAATTTAATTCAACTTAACAAAATTAGTTTTATTGGCTTCTATAAGTATAAGTCTAATACAAGTAAATCATTGACATTTTTGAAAGAAACACTAAATTTTAGATTCCTTTACAAATAATAACATGACAACACTATCAGTGGGGAAAGTCCCCAACAGATGAACAATCAGCCAGCCCTTTCAGTAAAGCTTTCCCAACTACTGTGGTCTTCCAACTAATCATCTAACTCAATTACCAATCCTCTCAGTAACCCTCTCTCCAGAAGCTTCCAAGTTACTTTCCTTAACAAACCCAAGTTCTGACATGTCTTGTTTGGCCATCAAGTTCCTGCAAGAAGCATATCAAAGGTCATTGGTATGTATTCACAACAAACCCCTGTCATAAAGAAAAAAATAATCTGAGAAATGAGGATTCAGTATCTATGACATAAATGAAAGAAAAGGATAAGTGAATAATATTTCTGCGAAACCAAAATTACCAGAAAATTGCTTTCCTAATGCTTTATTGAAGACCTTCATCACATATAGAGCTCCGCAAAGAGTTTTAGTGAATTAGGAGAACTAAATATGTAGGATTCAAATTTATGGTTACTCAAAATACAAATTCTTTTATTGTTTGAGATGACTCAATTTCATCTTGGATGGCGTGGATTTGCATTCATGAGCAAACCTTTAACAGCATTTTGACACAAGCCTAACACCAGAAACGGGGGAGAAGACATAACAAGCTCTTCTGCAGACTGTAAGTAGACGGAGTTCTGTACAAGCAAATAAAATGTCTAACAGAAAGAACGCAAGCATTGAAACCAGTCAAAGGAAGTTAGTACTTTAAACTACTTTCGCCCAACAGTATCTGTGTGAAACTTACCTGTCTATATATTATAAGCTTTCAAGACTGTACAGTTGTTAATTGTTTTAATTTTTGAATAATAGCCAGAAGAATGTCACAATCTTAGCACACCCTATATTTATATAAGTCCACTAGTACAACGTGTTTTATAAACACCAAAAACTCACTTTTCCATGCGGCACTCCAGGTACTTTTTCGAGAAGAGCCTACATTTTTCAGATTGGTGGCCCGAAGTTTTGAGACAACTGAGGTATTCTTTTTTGTCCTGAAACAAATCCAAGAAACTAAGCCCTTCAAAAAAATAACAAAACAAAACCAAAAAAAACCCAAATAATCGAAATTGTCACAGCTAACCCACTCCAACATATAAAACTTTTCAAAAGCTTGTTTCTTCTACAGAGGAAACAAAATTAAAAAACATGATAATGTTCATTAATGGATCACGTAACATTACCAGGTCACACAAATGCATATGATCCAAAGGGAAGACACCTTTCTCTGGAGGAACTGGGCTCAGTCCCCTATTACCACCAAAGGCACCACCTACAAGAAATAATAACACTTTTAAACAAAAACGAGAGATATGCACTACTGCAAGGATGAAAGTGCCAATTTCGTGGTTCGGCCTGATCCAGATTTTTCATCTTTGTATACAAATAACACTCAAGATCATGCAGGCTAAATGTAGATTCTAACATAGCAAGAGAACCGTATTCACAAGGCTCACCAGGTCTTTTATCATAGGCAATGCAAGAGCTACAACTATCAAATCATGGCACAATAACTAGTAGCGTTATGAGTCTTTTAGGTATATACTCCACTCCTCCACCGCTATTTTATTGTCACTCGACCACTTCTAATTCTTTATAGTCAGTTTTTGGAGGTCCTATAAACAACTTCATACCTAAAATGCTAACAAAGTAACAAAATTTGAGCTGGGTAACATGCCTCTTTTCAGTTTTAGGCAATAAGCAGCTGAGGTTCAGTCCCACCAAAAGAATGGAAGAAGTTTGTATTAGAAGACTAGAGTCCCTGAAAGTAACTAACAGGAGTTTCTTCACCAGCATCATTGAAGGCTGGAATCCAATATAAAAATACAAGATATGGCCCTAAATTTTTTGCATAACCCAAAGGGGCAATCAGGAAACACATAAAGTTCCAAATAAACCATTAAAGAGGCAAGTACCCATTTTGCATTCACAAAAGTTCCAACAAATTTCCATTAAAAATCATATCTTCCAGCTAAAACTCATGCAACCAAAATCAAATCTTCCACCAGGATATTTCATTATCTTTCATTCCTTAGTCTAAGAATAGCCAATACATAAAGACCCCCCAGAGGACCCTTTTTACTATATTCCTTGCAAAATCCAATAAACCCGAAAGGTGGAGTGCCTGGAGCTATTTTACTGACTATAATGAATATATATATATATATATATATATATATATATATATATATATATATATGGAGAGAGAGAGAGAGAGAGAGTACCTGCACTCATTGTGAAAGCTAAGGCTGAGGAACTTCAGTATTTCCTGTTGCGTCGCAAAGAGATGTCACGCAATTCAAGATGGGTTTTGAATCATATTTATTTAAAGCCACACCCAATTCACCAGTCTCCTCCTCCTACCTCTCTCTTTGGTCTCTCTGCTCTGCGTGAGTCTGCGAGAGAGATTTAACAGAGCCGCCAAGGTACAGAAAGAGGACGGCAAGTCGTCTCTTGCCGTTCCTAAAACCAAAAAGAACGAGTCGTTTTGGGAACTGCTGACTGTCGTTTATTTGAGGGACTTCTTCTTTTCCCTCTCTTTTTGGTCGATTTATTGGACTGAGGAATGAAATAGATAGCAACACTATCTATAAATACCTATATATAAATAAAAATATATTATTTTTTAAATACAAAATAATTTACAAGGATGTGGAAGAGTATGACCTATATTAGCTAATTGATTAGCTACATGTTGTTCAAGGAGAAGAAACAGAATATCGTGAATAATTGAAGTTACATTTTAACGAGTAATACTTTGATTCTTCAAAATCTGAATGCGTCCCTCAATTTCCACTTTTTGAAAATGAAGATGAGTAGCGCGAAAAGAGCAGTACCTTGAGAATTACAAATAACAAAATGTGGAGCAAGCTAGTGAGGTATAGCTAAGTTGGTTGAGTTCTTCCACTCCCATCCATGTTGACAGAAGTTTGAAACCCCCTGACATCCAATCAATATTTGCTTGTACTAAAACAAAAACATAAAAAAGAACCAAAAACAAAACGTGGAGGGAGAGATACCAATGGCAAATCAATAGACTTTAATAAAAGGGGAAAGAAGATACAATTCGTTTTCTAACTTTTGGCCGATTTGTACAATTTGATTCGTTGGTTGTATTTATTTACAAGTATAGATGGGCTGCTGCCTTGTGAATGAACATTTCACAACTCACAAGCCCTTGCAATCAGACTTCTCTACACAGGGGAATTGCGTTGGACTAGAAACTTGAGGAAAATGTGCCGTTGGCTTGTCTCATGAACAAAGTAGCTAAGCTAGCCACAGGAAGATGTTTGAACTACTGTATCAGTTACTTTGCTTTGCTCCATGCGTGCATGTGAAGCGGTTTTGACATCGGTAGTTGAATTTTTGAAGTGCTACACTGGCTGCCCTTGGCTTTGACAAGATTTTCCGGCTGCGGTCGGCCTATATGCATGTGGATGCTGAATTATTACCAAGACAGAATCCTTGGAGCTTTCATCAGAGGAAGGTGTAGTTGGCTGCAAAGGTTCAAACACTTTTTTTCATTAAATGATTTAATCAATCAATAACACTTATTTAATGCAGAAAGTATATGTTCAAACGAGACTGCGAGGGGATGAAAAAATTCAGGTTCCCATAAAACTGAGGCCCTTGTAAGAACCAGCCAACATCAGTCATGCAAAATTAGTTCCATGAATAGGAAGTCCACAGCGAGTTGATTATGAAACACTCTGACATATATGACTACATAGAGAGTAGAAAAGATGCACACTAATTCATGTTCCTATTGCTTACCACTCCAATGTGCCATTCATGCTTCGTGAAATCTCTGAAAGTTTCTGCATCCATTTCCTGCAGTGCCATGACTTAGGATTGTCAGAAAAAGAAGAGGAATAAATTATGGAATTCTATTTCAACTTCTTCGTTACTTGCTTCCTTACTTATTGGATTCTAATTTTGAATCATAGGTATCAAAGCATGCCATACTCTTTAGAAAAATCGGTATGCAAATGTTTGACACAAAATCTTCTACTTTAATGTTCTCAGCGCATACAAAGTTTGAAAATAACTTACAATGCTATAAATTGGAGGCACCACTAGTTCTCCTTTAGATTTTAAAGTTGGCATAACAGAGAATCGTGGTGCCAAGTCCCTTGACCTAAAAGTCCACCTGCAAGAGACAGTCATGTGACCACATCAAAGAGCAGGAATGTGAGCAAACCCTTCTTGCATGCTGAACCTAGCTATTTGATAATGAATTCAAAAGACATCCAGAACTACATTCTTCCTATGAAACGAACATTCACAGAAAGGTAAACATACCCTATGTAAACAAAGATGCAGAACTGAGCCCATTCTCGGACTAGCAAGCGAATCCAATAATTTTCTGACGAGTCATCCATGTTAATGTATATCTGAGAAGCAAAGTGTTAATTGTCTCATCTATTTCTGTATGTATCTTCTAACTGTGTATGTAATTATTATCACTAAAGTCAAGATATCATACCACAGTCTCTGCCATGGCTACTATCTGCATTGCACCTTGGAATTTTCTGTATTGCACATTTATACAGCATATGAGATTCAAATTGTGATATCTTTAAAGGTCAGGATATCTTAGAACCAGAACATAAAACAGCAGTATGCATGTCGAAATGTGACACATACTTGAACATGATGTACTTCATGTAGACTGCATCATGCATTGCATGAACATTCTCATTATCTATAAAACTTAATTGTTCACGCAACACTAACAGATTCTGGGATATGTGGTGGAATATCACGTAGAATGAAATGAAATAGTTAAGCAACAGTAGCACCTGAATCATGACATAGCAGAAAATTAGTACAGGATGGTAAACAATTGGAAACATAAAAGAGAGGTATTAATTCCTGCATTTACCAGTGTAATGCATTAGTTTGTCAAAGAAACTCACAGAGAAATAAGGTACAGAAGCTCTGTATCCAACAAGAGTCAAGTAAAAGACACAGCCAAGGGAAGCAGTAGTGCGCCGCTCAGTTACTGAAAGACGCTCGCACATGATGCAGTAACCATGAGAGATGAGTAAAAAAGACACAAAAGAAGCTGTCTGAAATATCACTCCAGTTACATACACTCCAAATGACATCCATAGAGAGCATATTTGAAGATGAAAGCATGAATACCTGCAAAAGTGACACTTCAAAATTTGGTAAGTGTGACGGAGGAAACAACAGTTGAAAAATCATTACAAAGAAGGCTCCGATGTGCTTACGTCCACACAGATACACATGCGAAAGGCAGCCTTGTCATATAATGCACACAATTTCCTATAGGGCTCTCTAAATTATTGGCCTCATAAATTTGGGCATAAAAATTCTCCCCTCAACAGAGATCTCTGGACTACCACCAAATCTTTTTTGTTTTTGCTTTTTAATTGATAAAGGAAAAAAATATTAGCTTCAAAACAGATGAATTGTTAAGTCCTTTAATTGATTGTTCCAATCCCCCTAAATGGATAAGTGTTCTTCATAAAAGAAACAAAAGAATTACTTTCTGAACCTGCATTCTTTTTTCTTTTTGCGCATTGAATAGAAACTATATTCTATTTCCCCAAGATAATAAGAACATACCAGAAGAGGAATGACAACGTAAGTTGCAAGGCTTTAATTAATGGAACAGATGCAAGCGTCCACTGCAAATTATTCGTCTGCTCTAGTTTAACCACAAAACAAAGCACAACAATTATAGAAAATAAGTAATTGCATCAAAGCCAGCCCAACAAAAGAAAATAAATCAATCAAGTAGAGTATTAACACACACTTGAGCACACTATTTATGAGAATTAAATTTGCCACCCTGTTTGGTTGTCCAGAAATGTAGGCCAAGCAAATAACTTGAATCAAATCAAATATCTATAAAAACATATATATATATATATATATATATATATATATATTCACCGTTTGCTCTTAATTATATACAAAAAATTCCGAGTAATCGAACAGAACAAAAATATTAAACATTTAGAACAGTTACCCGATAGAAAAAGAGAAACACCCATTGTTTGGTTACCTAGAAACTGAGGCGTTGAGGTAAATTTAATGGCTTTCATATACAATGTGAAAAAGAAAAAAAAATTGAAATGTGAATTCTTTAAACAAGACAGAGCACAGCCCAAAACCTTTTCAGATTTTTCTCTTGCAACCCAAATTATACGTTAACATCCTCAACATTACCAGATAAACAACCCAGAAATCAAATTTGGATTAAAATTTCAAAACAAAACAAAAAAAAGTGGAAATGAAGGAAAAAGCGACCTGGAGATGGCGGTTCTTATAGGTGTTGATGGTCCAAGAGCAGGCCGAGACGAACCAGATGGACAAGAAGGCCAAGTAAACCGATGGCAGAGACCGATACGACTCGTCCAGTCCGATACGATACGCTCCGATGCTCTCAAATTCGGTCATTCTGCGAATCGGAAGCTTAATCATAAAAGAAGAAGCTTTAAGCTTCGCTAACAATTTGATTTTTAGTTTTTCCGTTATGTTTTCGCTCTCTGTGGCGGCTTCCATGCTTTATATATATCCCGTTGGCTCACACCACAAAACGTCATCGTTTTCGTCCATGTATTTTAATACTATTTTTTGGGGGACTATTTAGGGCATTGAAAAGTATTAATTTAATAAAATTTCAAATTACCATCTACTAAGACCATGAAATATGAATGTTTTGAGCTCATTTTGTTTTGTTGAATGAGAAGGATTTATTTTTACTTTTTTGTTTACATACAGGAACGAAAAGAGTTAATTAGAGTCGAATTCTTATCGTGCGTGTGATGATGAATTTAATTTTTATTTGGTTTTTAGGTTCTTTTTGTTGCATGAAATTGGGTTTTTCTTCTTCGGAAAAAATAGCAATTTCCCTACTAATTTTGTTTTTGGATTATTGAACTAAAATGAAGAAGGTTATTAGTGAATGTAAAGAAGATGAGCCAGATTTAAGGAAAATGAAGTTGGTGATCCTCTCATGGTGTGTCATACAACAAACCCACTCCCCTAAAGTCTCCTTATTAGTAGGCCTAATTATTGGGATAAACTAAATCCACCAGAAGTGTATTTTCTTCCCCCATGAAAAATCTTATGTTACTATTTTTAAGGGGTTTGAGGAGATTTTAGAGAAGAGCCTGCACTCTGCATGGTCATCTCTCAAACAAAGGACGTGGAGAGCACTCCTATTCAATATTCCTTTTCGATAGCTGGTAGCATTTCTATGGCCCTTCAAACAAATGGCCGACTATTTTGATTAAACAAAATAAGAAGAAAGAAAAAAAAACAAAGACATCTATTATTATGCTATGTTGTTCGATTATCAATTCAAAATTTACATTTCAAGACTAGTGGTTCGGATTAACGGTCGAACGATGAAAAATTATTGTCCGAGGAACAAGTGCGCATTACATTTCATGTACAATGAATTAGCATAAGTCATTTATATGGAAAAAATTGATATATTATAAGATAAAATAAATAAAAAGATAGGGTTTCTTGAGGGATGCTCACCAAATCTTCCTGCGGAGGACGCAGGTTTATATAATTATTGGTGCGAGTATATGGCCAACTACTATGCAGGTAGATAGGCAACTCATGTTGACCATTTTGAATGCTTAATTCCAAGTTCCAACTAAGCGGTTTATGAGGAAAATCTGGGTTGCTATGCCTATGCAGCTATGCTATGCTTTGGAATATGAGATTTTAATTTAGTTTGGTCATTTTATGTAAACATTAGGTGAACAAACTCACAAACAAATTTTTTTGTTCTTAAGCTCACTTCTTTTTAATATACAAATTTAAATTATTCCATATGAATATATTACGAGTCATCACTGAAAAACATATTTGCCGATGATCTTAATTAGTTAATCTTATTCCAAAACTTGTCTGTAATACTAATAGTCATGTATGTGGTCCTTCGTCTGGCCTGATATACTCGGCCAAGACCAACACTTAGCCCACTAGGCAAGTGGGCATCTGGGCCGACTCCGAGTCCTCTTTTTCCTTTTTCTTGTTTTTCTTTGTTAAGCTTCAGGCTGGTCATTTTACTGCTTCTTTTAAATAAAAAATAAAAAAATAAAGAAAACCATTTGCTACTTCTTTATACATGCAGGGGTATGGTATGGATTGGATCGGTTTCACTCTAAAATTACGGTCAAATTAATTACAATAAAATAATTTGGTTGTGTTCGATTTTGACAAAAATCATTGAGAAAACTAAACCAAATCAATTTAAGATAATTTAGTTCGATTTGGTTCGGCTGGTTTCTCTTGCCTTTTGCATGTTTGCAATATTGTTAGCCTAATTACAACAGAAAAATTCATAACTTGCTATATACCTTTTTCATTTTCTAGAGTATCAAATCATCCTAAAACTCTACATACAATAAAACTTTAAATTTCAATAACTAGTATAGCTACAATTTAAATATCAATAACTCCAAAAGTTCAACAGACTTCAAATTCAACATTCATATGTAGTTATTATCTAATTAGAGTACTATACATATAAAATAAAATATAAATAAATATACAATTAGACAATCTAAATCGGTTGACAAAAGCTAAAAATTGAATTAAACCAAATGATATACGGTCCGATTTGATTTTTAAAACCGTTGGACTTTTTTGGTTAAAACCATAGCTACAGTTGGAATAAGCCGATTTCATCGGTTCAACCCGATTGTAAATTGGCATCAAATATGACATTTGCAGCTTTGATCATCGACCACAATATTATCTTTTTAATAAATTATGTATCAAATGAGTTTTCATATTTCTATATACCCAATTGCTATAATTAGTTGGGATGTCCTGTCCACAACAAATTACAACCACTTGTCAATTTCAAAAACTTGTGTAGGAATCAAAGCTTGGAGAAGAACGTTTGGACCAATTCATACTTATGATTATCTTTCATGACCATATATCACTTAAAAGTGCAAGTCTGCTTAGTGGAGTGATGTCTTCAAACTTGCTACGATTAAAACCATTTAAAAAGGACACGGCTGCCTACTAGAAACAATTTTTCTAGTTTCAAACTTTTTACCACGTGAAGAAGTATTCGATATTAAATTTAAAAAGTAATGCTCATTAGTCTTTCTTTTTTATTTCTCATTTACCAAACCCTAACTAGAGCCAAACACATGTTTTGTAATCTGACTCACGTCAAAGTATTTTTCTTTAATCTGATTTTCTTATTTTGTTTTTCTTTTTTTAATTATTTAAAAAAATTATTTGAACTTGAGACATCGTTCACGGTCCATTATTAAAAATAAAAATATCATAAAATTAAGAGTTAGCTGGTATTTCCTACTATCTACTACTTTCAAGAAAATAGAAGATGTGCATCCGTTTGTTTAGGTTGGAATTTATATATATAATATATAAAAAATCAAAAAAGCAATACCAAATATGATATATAAGTATAATAAAGAAAAAGAAAAAAGGACGTTTGATTTCATTAGTGCGTAATTCTTCTTCACGTGTAGAAACTAGAAAATTGTTTCCAGTAGATAGTCGCTTTTAATATACATATATGTAGTCCTTTTTCATTGAGGAATTCCTTAAATAATTTTATTTTAGGGACACCATTCATAGATAATCTTTGCAAAAAAAAATCAGACAAATTGAAAATCATTAAGGCATCTAATTCAGACCAACAAAATTCATGACCACGGTGCTTCAAAAAAGTACTTAAATTTCAATAATTTAATTGAAAGATCAAATGATATTGAATTCAAGTGATTTTTTGTAGAGATGATCTTTGAATGAATATCTACAAAATATACTGTTTGGATTATTGAAATACTATGTGAAGTGGGCCCTACAAGCACTATAGAAGATGTGCATCCGTTTGTTTAGGTTGGAATTTATATATATAATATATAAAAAATCAAAAAAGCAATACCAAATATGATATATAAGTATAATAAAGAAAAAGAAAAAAAGGACGTTTGATTTCATTAGTGCGTAATTCTTCTTCACGTGTAGAAACTAGAAAATTGTTTCTAGTAGATAGTCGCTTTTAATATACATATATGTAGTCCTTTTTCATTGAGGAATTCCTTAAATAATTTTATTTTAGGGACGCCATTCATAGATAATCTTTGCAAAAAAAAAAAATCAGACAAATTGAAAATCATTAAGGCATTTAATTCATACCAACAAAATTAATGACCACGGTGCTTCAAAAAAGTACTTAAATTTCAATAATTTAATTGAAAGATCAAATGATATTGGATTCAAGTGATTTTTTGTAGAGATGATCTTTGAATGAATATTTACAAAATAAACTGTTTGGATTATTGAAATACTATGTGAAGTGGGCCCTACAAGCACTAGCATACCTATTAAGGTGCAAAGGTTTCATGGTGCGCTCCAGGTGTTCAACGAATTGCCTCCACCAAGGCTTGAAGGCGCTGGGCTGTTTCTGCACGCAGAGCATAAAATCCTTAACAAAACGATGTCGTTTTGGATCAGGGTTAAAACAAAAAAATTCGTGGGTTTTAACAAGCTATGATGTATAGGCTGCTTAAAAACTGATAAAGGGCTATAAAACAAGCTACACCCCCCCTCCCCCTCGCCTGGAAAACCTCTTCAGACGCTAAATATTGAACCTTTGCTAAGGTTTCGTGGTGCGCTCTAGGTGTTCGACAAATTGCCTCCACCAAGACTTGAAGGCGCTAGTCTGTTTCTGCACGCAGAGCATAAAATCCTTAACAAAACGATGTCGTTTTGGATCAAGGTTAAAACAAAAAAATTCGTGGGTTTTAACAAGCTATGATGTATAGGCTACTTAAAAACTGATAAAGGGCTATAAAACCTTTCAAGAAAATAGAAGATGTGCATCCGTTTGTTTAGGTTGGAATTTATATATATAATATATAAAAAATCAAAAAAGCAATACCAAATATGATATATAAGTATAATAAAGAAAAAGAAAAAAAGGACGTTTGATTTCATTAGTGCGTAATTCTTCTTCACGTGTAGAAACTAGAAAATTGTTTCCAGTAGATAGTCGCTTTTAATATACATATATGTAGTCCTTTTTCATTGAGGAATTCCTTAAATAATTTTATTTTAGGGACACCATTCATAGATAATCTTTGCAAAAAAAAATCAGACAAATTGAAAATCATTAAGGCATCTAATTCAGACCAACAAAATTCATGACCACGGTGCTTCAAAAAAGTACTTAAATTTCAATAATTTAATTGAAAGATCAAATGATATTGAATTCAAGTGATTTTTTGTAGAGATGATCTTTGAATGAATATCTACAAAATATACTGTTTGGATTATTGAAATACTATGTGAAGTGGGCCCTACAAGCACTAGCATACCTATTAAGGTGCAAGGAGGTGCAGCTGCACCTGCACCTCCCCTCCCCTCGCCTTAAAAACCTCTTCAGACGCTAAATGTTGAACCTTTGTTGAGGTTTCATGGTGCGCTCCAGGTGTTCAACGAATTGCCTCCACCAAGGCTTGAAGGC